AGGTCCTAAGGTAATTTTCCAACTCACCCCAAGTTTTCGAATCATGAATCATTCTCGTAAGGTAGAAACAAGCATTAATATCGAGATAAACACACCCAACTCATGGAAACAGAACAAACTATATTAACGAACTAAAATACTCAGAAAGTTAAGATTACATTCAATCCCCTATGAAGTTCTTAGTACTCATACAGGGGCGGCTCAAGAGCTTTTAGGGCCTAAAGCAAATTTAAAAATGAGGTTTTTTTATTAATAAAATATTTTTTAAAAATTATTATAATTTTATTTAAAATTTATTTAAAATAAAACCAAATTAAAACAATAAAACCTGATTGTCAAGAAAATAAACTTAACACTTGCAATCTCTACGCCTCCAAAAGTGACAGCTTTGCAAAGAAACTGCGAAATACTATTTGGTAGGTGTGGGTAATAGAGGCTGAGTAGTGAAGGGAAGACTCTTGTACAAGTGCCTCTGCGTTGAGAAAATGGAAGGCTTCGTACCAATGCTTATGGGTTAGAAAAATAGAAGACTTTGCTTCCTCCTCCACTTCTTCCTCAAGGTTGTTGTTAGTAAAAAAAACAAATTGAAGCAGAATTGAACAAGAAGAGAGTAGTTAGAAAAAGGAAGAAGAAAGAAGTAGCAATTAAATAAAAAGTAAAAAACTGTTCAATTTTTTTTCTTTGCTATTCAATTATTTTTTAAAAAAAATAAATTAAAAATATTTATTATCTATTGGTTAAGAGTTACAGCTCATTAAATATTATTTATAATATCAACGAAAAGTTAATAATTACTTAAGATATTTAAATTCAAAGCTATTTTTAAATTTAATCTTTTTTATTTTTTTTAAAGTATAATAAAACTAAAAAAAAATAAATTTGGGGGCTTAAAGCCCTTGCCTTACTTGCTTGGGCTTTAGGCTGCCCCTATACTCATAGTGTACAAAACAACAAGAAAATACGTGGAAAAGAGATAGTAATTAGTCCTCCAATGGTGTAGCCACTCTCCCACACTTCTCCACTTGTTCTGCACTCCAAAATCAAGCTAGGTCTATGAATCCCGATCCCTCATCATGCATGGGCTCTTCAAATTTAGGGCATTTAATGAATTCTTGCTTGAGTGAGAGATTTCTTGCTCAAGTGAGAACCACACAAATGCGCCTTGCAGTTCCAGATGATCTCACTCAGGCGAGGTCTCTCCTCGCTCAGGCGATAGGCTCACTCAAGCGAGTCTTTTCTTGCTCAAACAAGAATGAGGCAGAATGAACATCCTGCAACTCGAGGTTCTCACTCAAGCAAGTCACATCTCTCTTGAGTGATATTTGCATGCTTTGTGGCTTTACTTCACTCCGTTTCACTCTTCATTCCATCATGCTTTGCCCTTACTATTTAGCACAAAAGAACAGGGTCAAATACCATCATATAACTACATATTTAGAGCAATTAACAACTACTTAAGTGGCTAAACTTCAATGGGCATGAAATATAAATTGCATTGAATTAAAAGGAAATTTAAATATAAATTAGTTAAAAAGAAATCAAATAAGTGCTAAATTATATACCAAAAACTACTACCAAATGGCACTTATCACATACTTTATGTGATCTTTATTTTTAACAACAGTTGCATTTTCCTTTTTAGATTAGTTTTTGTCCTAATGTGTTTATATTTGTATATTTGGAATTGATCGTTTTCAACATATCATAATTGATTGCATTTTCTTTTTTAGATTGGTTTTTGCCCTAGTGTGTTTATATTTGTATGTTTGGAATTGATCGTTTTAAACATATCATGATTGATTGCATTGTAGGTGACCGACCACATGTAAGTAATGAAATTATAGAGTAAAACAAGGCATAGAATGTGGATCAAACTTAGTTTTTCTCTTTCAATCCTTATTAAATTAACGAAATTGATAGGCTCTTTATGTGTAACACCCTTTTTTTCTTAACTATTTGTTTGTTATTGATTAGAGTTGGATTGTATTTTAGTTTGAGAAGTCTTTGAATGAAACCTGTTGTAGGGGGTCTCGTTCAAGCGAGACTGAGTGTTTTGGACCAAGAGATTCCCGAACATTCTTGGTCAAGCGAGATCAACATCACCAAGAGAGGACAGTTGAAGCAACTCTATCCTATCTCCCAGGCAAGATAAAACTCACTCAAATAGAGTCGCAGGAAAATTTGGGGAACTCTCTGGACCCCTTTTGCTTAGGCGAAAATGACCCTCGTTCACTGAGAATATTAGAAAAAAAGCCTATAAAACCATTGTCTGATGTTTTCTCCCAAGCGAGATATGTCTCGCCTAGGCAAGATGTTAGTTTGCCTTAGCGAGAGTTAGCTTGCATAAGCAAGAGCATGCGAATTAGAGGATATTTAAGGGATTTTCAACCAAAAAACTTGCATTACAATCCAAATTAAATTTTCTCTCATTTCTCTTAGAACTCTCACTTGCTTTTCTCAGAGAAACCTCTTTCAAACATTGATCCTTCCTTGAATTCGAACTTAGACATTCAATCTGATCGACTCTAAGTAAGTTTCTAGAGGCTTAGTTCTCCAAGCTCTATTCTATTCTCTCAGTTTTCTATTTTATCAAATGCTCTTTCTTTTGTGATATTTAGGAAGAGCTTTATTCTTTGAACAAAATTCTTCAAAAATCTTCCTTTAAATCTTTATTCCAAGGTAAGGAGAGTTCTCTTTTCTTCATTATGAAATAGTGAATAGTTTATGTTTATGAGAGTATCATTGTATGTTCCTTGTATGTAAATATATGATTAAATGATATGTAAGAGTTGTGAAATGTAATGATGTGTGTATTTGATTGATTTAAGATGATTATACTATATTTCCGTGGTGTGTGTTGTATGGATTTATTCTGGAAGTGCTCTACTAAACATGATCTTTTTAGTTAAACAATGAGATTAATGTGAAAAAGAGTATGGAATGACAATGATAAATAAATTAGTGTAAATAGTTATAAAGATACATTGGGATATTCAATGATAAATAAATTAGTGTAAATAGTTATAGAGATACATTGAGATATAGAGTTTAGAAACTATTAGGAAATCTGAGAGAAACGTAGGGTGGTGAATGACATTCGTGTATGTGTACACACTCTTTGAGGGGGAGAGTATGGAATTGTGTTTGAGTATGTATGTAATTGTTATATGTTTGATATTGTGATTTGTAATAATTTTATTTATGTTATGTTTAATGGTGAGAAAAGTGCTCATCCTTACTAAACGTTTCAAGGAGCAAGGATGACTAACTCACAAGGAGTAATTAGATTAGTATATTCTTCTATAAATTGTAGGTTAAACTATATATTTATGGAATATCAGTGTGTATGTTATTTTAAATTTGCTGTAGATACTAATCATGAATCAAGTAATGTGTATGCTTTGGAAATGAATATAAAATAGTCTCCCTTTTAAGTACCTTGTCTGTGGTAGAATTTGCCATGCTCTTAGCCTATATATATATATATATATATATATATATCGAAGAATAGTTTCAATGCCAAACACAGTGAACTACTTGTATATTCCTTGATCACGATCTCCTTGAAAGACCAACCTAGTTTACTTTCAAGCGAGTAACTAATATTTAGGTCGTGGCTGATTCTAGTGATCTTGACAAGGATGAGGATTTGACTCCAAAGGAGCTGGTTGAGATAGAGGGCTGGCAAGGTGACGACTAGAACTGGGTCCTTAGTGGTTTAGGTATAGATAAGGACTGTTCTTAAGACTTAGTTTATTTTGACATTGTAATTATGTATTCTAAGTCCTAATGTATTTTGATAACAAACTATAAATATTAAACTTTGTATATAAAAGAGATTCAGCTATGTATATTATTTTTATTAATTTAATTGTTAAGGTATAGTTTACATTCTGTTATTTCTAACATCTTTGTAATTTTTGACGAGATTTATTGACAAGAAATTTTAAATTTATTTCATGTTCATACCTCCAATTTACAATAAATTCGTTTTATTTTGTTTACTTCATCATACATTATATAAACATTTCAACTAAAAAAATCAAGACTGTCATGTTATGTTTTCCTTATCTTTTTGCTTTGTATGACCACTGGAGATAATAGCGCTAATATTGCGTTACCATTGGACGTTAGTAGTTTTAGTAAGAGTGAACTACGACTATAGCAAAATTAGAATTGGATTAGACTAAAAGTAAACATAAAAATGTGTAAAGGTAAAACTATACACTAGATTTATTTCAAATAATTTCTTGTTAGAAGTTGCATTATTTTATTTTGATTAATTTCTCGTTTTCTATTTTATTTTATTACCCAATATTTAGGTTTAAGCAATTAAATCATAATAATCTTAGTAATTAAAAACAATTTGTGTGATAAGAATCAGCGTGTGGGCAAACAGCCAAAATCCACAAAAATTGTTATATGAAAAAGATAAATATTATTGCATAACGAAACTCTCAACCATTGCAGAAGAATCCGTTTTAAAAACTACCCACATCATACCGGGTGCTTTGCTACAAAACCGTCACATTTGCCATTGAAAATTTCGCAGTGCAATCCTTCGAATAAACCTATGCATCAGGTTCAATTCTTCTAGACTTACACATAAAAAATACATAGTCATCCATACTGGTCTATATTAAAATGATTTATTTAGTTGTACCTCAACCTTGCTTCACCTACCGATTGAATTTTAATATAAATAGGCACTAAAAAATAATTAAAACTCATAGCCACATCTCTCTCAGAGAGGTTTTAATATCTTTGTTCACCACATTCAGTATACTAATGAGCAATAACTATCTGAGGAGTGAATTGTAGTGATTTAACTCCGTAAGGTTTTATTATAATGATGAATCCCTCAATCCATCCTATTATATCAACCATTTCAAAGTCATTAGAAATAATTATAACTAAATTCAATGAAAACCGGTCTCTGAATTCCTAATAGGCTGCTTAATGTTGACTTCAGGGATGTTTGAATAGTTTTTAGACATGAAAGGAAAACAAAGCACAAATTTGTCATGGAAAAAAAACACATCTCAATAATGGGTTTCAGGAGGTGCACAAACACCTCTGTTTTCATCATATTAAGTTGTTGTTTATTACATGTTGTTGCCATTTCTTCATCTCAGTTCATCAAGGACCCAAGAACGCTAAACTCAAATAATGGAAACTTCACCTTGGGGTTCTTCAGCATTGAAAATACTACAAATCGTTACTGGGGAATATGGTGCAAGACCAAAGACACTGTCATATGGGTGGCTAACAGAAACCAACCACTTAAGGATTCTTCTGGGGTTGTTACAATATCTGAGGATGGGAATCTAGTGGTAATGGATGGACAGAAACATGTCATGTGGTCATCAAATGTGTCCAATATCACATCATCCAATTCTACTTTCCAACTTTCAGATTATGGGAGCCTTGTCTTGTTGGAAAACATAACAGGAAATACAATATGGGAGAGTTTCCAGCATCCTACAAATACATGGTTGCCTCATTTGGAACTATCTAGCAACAAAATAACAGGTGAAAAAGTAGGACTTACATCATGGAAAAGCCCTTCTGATCCATCCATTGGGAGCTTCTCTTTAAGTATTGAACGCTTTAATATTCCTGAAATCTTCATTTGGAATGATAATCAACCATATTGGCGCAGTGGTCCGTGGAATGGACGAGTGTTTCTTGGGGTACCGGGAATGGAAGCGATGTATCTTAACGGTTTTCATGTCGAAAATAATGGGGATGGAACAGTTGCGGGATATTTTACCGTAGATGAGTTAGGACTTACAGTGCTAACCCTGAATTGGCAAGGCCTACTTCAGGAAGATAATTGGGATGATAAGAAGGAGGAATGGCAGGTTACATGGACAAGTCGAAAATCGGATTGTGATGTTTATGGTATATGTGGAGCATTTGCAAGCTGTAATTCACAAACCTCACCGATATGTACCTGTTTGAAGGGGTTTGAACCAAGGAACATAGAGGAATGGAATAGACAGAACTGGACTAATGGATGTATTAGCAGGACACCTTTGCAGTGTGAAAGGGCCAACCACCAAAGCAGAAGTGTGGATAGTAATAAACCAGATGGGTTTTTGAGATTAGAGATGGTCAAAGTGCCTGATTTTGCAGAAGGGTCATCTGTTACACAAGACCAATGCCAAAGCCAGTGCTTGGAGAACTGTACTTGCATTGCATATTCATATGATGCTGTTATTGGCTGTATGACTTGGAGTGGAAGTCTAATTGACATCCAACAGTTCACGCTTGGAGGATCTGATCTATACATTCGTGTAGCCTATACAGAACTAGGTGTGCTGGGTATTATCAACCCAAAAATTTGAATACAGCTCTTCAACTTGACTTCATTAATTTGTTTATACATAATTACAGGTAAAGGCCGAAATATAATTGTCATCATCACAATTATAGTGATAATAGGAGTTTTGCTATTTCTCACTTGTGCATATGTCATTTGGAGAAGGGCTTTGCACCTAGGTACTAGTAATACACCATCCTTCTTGATTCAAAATTTAGCTATTTAAACATATATTTTGTTGATGTAAAACCTAAGCTTACATGTTTGATGTTTTACATGTCTGCTAAACTGTGGAACTTCAAAAAAAATCAGCAATGAAAAAGAAGCTTGGATTTTTTCGACTCAACAAAGGTACAACATCTGAAGAAAACGTAAGTGACAACATTATTGGAGAATTTTCACAAGCCAAGCTACAGGAGCTGTTATTGTTTAACTTTGAAAAGCTTGCGACGGCCACAAACAACTTCCAATCCTCCAACAAACTTGGGCAGGGTGGTTTTGGTCCAGTATACAAGGTATGTTCAATCTAACATAGTTAATCAAGTATAAATTGATTGTTTATAGCTTTTGTTTCCTCCTGTTGTTATTCAGGGGGAACTGCGAGATGGGAAGAAAATAGCAATTAAAAGGCTTTCTAGAGCATCTGGACAAGGTCTAGAAGAATTCATGAATGAAGTTGTAGTAATTTCTAAGCTTCAACACCGCAATCTTGTAAGGCTTTTGGGCTGCTGTATTGAAGGAGATGAAAAGATGTTGATATACGAATACATGCCAAATAGAAGTTTGGATGCATATCTGTTTGGTTAGATCTTTTGACGGACTCTTTATATGCATTTTCTGATATGTTCAAAATAACATGCTATATTTGGTCTTTACTTTTGCAGATCCATCAAACAATAAACACCTAGATTGGAGAAAACGCTTTATCATTATAGAAGGAATAGCTCGAGGATTGCTTTATCTTCATAGAGATTCCAGGCTAAAAATCATACATAGAGATTTGAAGGCAAGCAATATCTTGCTAGATGAGGAGCTTATTCCAAAAATATCAGACTTTGGTATGGCTAGAATTTTTGGAGGGAGTGAAGATCAAGCCAATACCCAAAAGATTGTTGGAACATAGTAAGTGAGCCTTCTTCTTTATACTAGGAATGAGTAACATACTTGGATAATTGATCAATTGTTAATATTTCAATGTAGTGGCTATATGTCGCCAGAATATGCAATGCATGGAGTGTTTTCAGAGAAATCAGATGTCTTTAGCTTTGGAGTTTTGCTACTAGAGATTGTTAGTGGAAGACAAAACTCAAGCTTTTATGACCCTGAAAATTCTCAGACCATCTTAGGATTTGTAAGTCTATAATTCATCTCTAGCTTAGTGGAAGCTTTCTTGCTTTCTCTTATAAAACATTTTTTATTTTCATTTTAGGCCTGGATAAAGTGGACGGAAGACAATATTGTCACTTTGATAGATTCAGGAATATATGATTCTAGCCTTCACAAGGATATTTTGAGGTGCATACACATAGGACTTCTTTGTGTACAAGAATTTGCTCCAGACAGGCCCACTATGGCTACAGTAATTTCAATGCTTAACAGTGAGATTGTGAATCTTCCTCCTCCAAGGGAACCTGCATTTATCCTGAGGCAGAATATGTTGAATTCAGTCTCCTCTGATGAAAGATTTGGATTGTATTCCATCAACACTGTCAGTATTACAGACATCCATGGCAGATAGAAAACTAGTAGATTTTGAGTAAAAATTTCAAGTCTAGCGGAAATGATTGTTAGAATTTTGTAGGATTGCTCTTTTCATTGTTAAGGAACATGGTTCAAAATTGAGAACCTTGATAAATCAGTTTTAAATTAAATAGTTGTTTGTGAGAAGTTTGAACTTTGAAAGTCTTTTATGTTATATATGGCTGGTTGGATAACAGTACTTGATAGGTTTGTAGGATAAAGAATGTCTTACCTATGGGAGACATAAGCCTCTGCATAATATGGTTTTTCAACTGAACCAAGTGTAACTTAATGATTGGAAATGGTTATCCAACATCTAAACTTTAAATTTTAACTACTTTAGGCAACTCATTATAGGAATCAACCTATAATTTTAGATCCTTTCCTCATGCTGAAGGAATATAATGTACATGCTCCTCTCACCTTCCTTGGTGGTATCCAAATTTGAAATCCATCTATGTTCACCCAATCCAATTTGGATCCAGGATAGTTAACGCCAAGATGTATGTCCAGTTTCATTTTTCCTTGAAATTTTTTTTACACAAAATTAGCTTAAGCGAGATTTTTGGCTTAAACAAATTAACCACTAGAAGTTGTCCATCACAACTAACCAACTTAAGAATAAGGCCAATTATCTTGGGAATATTCAATTTTAGAAATTTCAAAGTTGGAGAATTCAGCCTCAATACTCCTATCTCACCCTTGTTAGTGATAGCATATATGGTGTTATCAAAAACCACAAAGTCAACTACTGTCCAAGGTTCTCCCTGTGCAGAACAAGTAACCCAACAAGAATTTCGAGATTCATAGATATGCAAACATTGAAAATATTTACCTGAAACCACTACGATGAATTCCTCTGAACCTTTTGCAAAAGCAAATAAGGCATTGCAACCCAAATATTCTATGTTACCATTAAGTGCTGACATATTGATTTCCACCTTTCTTCTCACAAAAGGATTCATTAGAAGAAGTTTGTTGTTTGAAATACCAACCATAATCACATATCCACAGGAAGACCCTGAATAGAAAAACTCACTCAAGTAGCAATTTCGCACCGAGCCATACACTTTTTGTTCAGGTGTGCTAAAGAAAGAATAAGCTTGCATGAGAAATGATGTTTGGACCACTAATGGTTCTTGGGATGCCATCAAATCTCTCAAGTAACTTTTGTGAAATATCCTCCAGCTCTTGCACACTCCACCAAACTGAAAGAGGTCATCAAAATCTAGTTTCTTGGATATAATATCAAAGACATCCTCAGGAAGTTCACTTTTCTCTACCATTTTTCCCTTCAGTTTTCCTACATTCATTAAAAAAGGACAAGACCAATATTGGTGATCTCCAATGTAAATGAAAGGAACAGATATAGAATTTTATTTATGTCTAATGACATTATATGGAAATGAGAAAATAAAGAAGGATTTGTATCCTCAAGTCCAATTTAAATGTAATATCATCCTTAGTATTCCTCGCTGTAAATAATTCATGATCATGCTACTATTTAGTAAACAGTAGACATCAATTTTCGTCCTCGCACAGACATTAACATTCTAACCAAAAGCATGAAGCATTAACAAAATTATACATGGCAAGTACCGAGAGAAAGATTCAGTTTTACAATTGCATCCGCTTGTTTCCAAGTAAGGTTACAAATAAAAAAAAATCTAATTTAGTAAAATGACCAGTTTAGTAAAACTTGTACTTTTGAAGAGAGAAGAGGCATTTATTCAAATTCTAAACAAATATTTAATTAGTTCAATAATTTTAATTCAAGCCTAATTTCATAATTACTATTTTATTTATCTAAAAATAAATCAGTCCCACGTGAACCTTTAAAATTTATAAATTTTTAAATTAATACGTAAATTAATTCTCTCTAACCGAAAACAGGTAAAAGAAGAAAATTTAAAATATTTGAATTACCTAAAAGGAGAAAAGAAAGGGCAATTTTTTCAATAAAGATGAAGTTGCTATCTTTATATCTATCAATCAATCATGGTTCTAGCTATAAAAACAACTTCATATCCCCTCACTAGTGTACACAATAATATTTTTTATCAAATAAAAAATTTTCAAAATTCATAATGAAAATAAAATTAATAACATACTGGGTGACGAACTGGCTTCATTTTTTTGTAGATAGCAACATAAAAAGCAACTAATCTAAAAGATAGGTGCATGTAAAATAATACTTGATAGTGACGATGAAGCTAAAATCTCAGAACTATTTGATTTGTTGATATCATCGTCATCGTTTTCTTTCTTTATTCTATCTTTTTTTTTTTGACTCACTTGAATATGTTCTCTTTCTTTGTTCTTTATTTTATTGTTAATTGTTGTGATCTCTGCCTTTTTTCTGCCTCAATAATCGAGCTTAAAACTTTATCATAAAGAGGACATATTTTTCTCTTTAAAAAATAGAAGAAAAGCACGTCAAACCTCACCTGTCATTGATCACATAATATCAAAATATTAATATTTTTAAAACTTATAAAATAATATATTTGATGTTTTAATAAAAGCAACTAATGACATTGAAATTCCTGCTCTCCATTTTATTAAATTGGAGGATAAAAAAAAAAAAAAACAAAGTAAGAAGGAAAAAGTATAATATTTTACTAAAATTAGGACAAAATAAAAACAACAACAATGACAATAATAAAGAAGAAGAAGAAAAGAGAGGGTTTGCATACAAGAGTTCAAAGACCTCCAAGTTTGTACATAATGCATGACAACTAAGACTATTATTGTCTTTGTTCGTAGACAAGTGCACCTATTAAAAAATAATAAAAGGCTTTCGAATTAAGAATTCTCAAGTTATCATCTCACAAAGATTATTTCAAATATCAAGAATAACTTTATCTGAAAAATGCATCAAGACTCATCCCTCATTAGTCACTTAATGTCAAAATTTTGATATTTTTAAAATTTGAAAAAGATATATTTGATGTTTTAGTAAAAGTAATTAATGACATTGAAATACCTCGTTTTATTAAATTGAAGGACAAAATAAAAAAAAAGTAAGAAAAAAAAGCCAGAATATTTTTCTAAAATTGGAGAGAAATAACAACAATAATAATAATAAAGAAAAAAAAGAGGAGGTTTGCAAAGAAAAAGTGAATAACCTCCAAATTTGTATATAATGTATGACAACTAAGACTATTATTGTCTTAAACTTCATGTAACATCCTTATTTTATAAATAACTAAAATAAGACAATAGAATGAAGCTTGTACTTTTGAAGGAAGAGAATAGATAGATTCAAATTCTAAAAAAATATTTAATTAGTTCAATAATTTTAATTCAAGCTCAATTTCATAATTATTACTTTTTTATCTAAGAATAAATCAATATGAGATAGAAGATAAACTTTGAAAATTTATAAATTTTAAATTAAAAAGTAAACTAATTCCCTGTAATCCAAAATAAGTAAAGGATGAAAACTTATAATATTTGAGATAGCTAAATGGAGAAAAGAAAGGACAAGTATTGAAAAATAAAGATAAAGTTGTTATCTTTTGATCTATCAATCATGATTCTATAGCTACTAAAACAACCTCATACCTCTACATGATTGTAAACCACAATATTTTTTATTAAACAAAAAAATTTTAAGATTCATAACAAAAATAAAATAACATATTAGGAGATGAACATGCTTCATTTTCGATAGATAGTAACATAAAAAGCAACTAAATTAAAAGATAGGTACATATAAAACAATACTTAACGGTGACGATGGAGCTGAAATATTAGAATTATTTAATTTGTTGATATTATCTTCATCATTTTCTTTTTTCATTCTATCTTTTTCTTACTCACTTTAATTTGTTCTCTTTCTTTGCTCTTTATTTTATTATCAATTTTCGTGATCTGTGCCTTTTTTCTGCCTTAATAAATGAGCTTAAAACTTTGTTATAAATAAAACATATTTCTTTTATCTTAAAAAAAATATAAGAAAAACACACAAAACTCATTTGTCATTGATCACGTAATGTCAAAATACTAATATTTTTAAAAATTATAAAAAAATATATATTTGATTTTTTTAATAAAAGCAATTAATAACATTAAAATTTTCACTTTCCATTTTATTAAAATATAAGAAAAATAAAAAATAAAACAAAAATAAAAAAGAAAAAGTAAAAGGGTAAAGACCTCCAAACTTGTATATAATGCAAGACAACTAAGACTACAATTTGCTTAAGTTTTAAACTCTTTGTTTTATAAATTAATTTGCTATAAATGACTATTTAAAGAATGAATAATCGTTAGGATTTATGAGTTATTAATTTTTTATAAATAAAGATCTTATAAATTCAATCATAATGTATTAGACATTATAGTTAATTAATAATTTTTATATTTATCTATTTTTATAAAATTATTTATTCAATTTTATAATTTTTTTCTCTAATGCAATGTTTCAATAAAATATAAAATAAGTATAGAGAAAATAAAATAAAATAAAAATAAATGGGATGAAAATAGTGTTGTGTGAATGGATAAAAAAATGAAACAATTTTAATTTACTTATTAGAATAAATGAGAAAGAGAGTTAAAAATGTAGTCTATGTAAGAAAATTATATAACAATTAAAAAATATTTTAACAAAAAATTTAAAAATGTTAATATAATATTTATTTCTTAATTGTATGTCTTTAATTATTTTTATATTTACCTAAAAAATATTCTTAATAAATTATAAAAAAATAAATCTCACATCACTCCCCATCCAAAATTTTATCATTTTGTGTGAAAAAATAAAGAAGATGGACTACATATAAAAGATTATTTTTTACTAAAATAAGAAAATAAAAAAAGTAAAACTTTTATAACTATTTCATTGGTTGATATCTTCTTCAACGTTTTCTTTCTTCATTCTATATTTTTTACTGACTTTAATCTGTTCTCTTTCTTTGTTCTTTATTTTATTGTCAATTGTCGTAATCTCTGCCTTTTTTATACCTCAATAATTGAACTTAAAACTTTGTTATAAAAAAATATATTTTTCTCTTAAAAAAATATAAGAAAAACACATCAAACTCACCCGTTATTGGTCACATAATGGCACAATACTAATATTTTTAAAACTTAATAAAAAATATATTTGATGTTTTAATAAAAGCAATTAATGACATTGAAATTTCAACTCCCCATTTTATTAAATTGGAAGACAAAATAATAAAATAAAAGTAAAAAAAAAAAAGCATAATACTTTACTAAAATTTGGGCGAAATAACAACAACAACAATAAAGAAGAAGAAAAAAAAGAGAAAGCTTGCATAAAAGAGGTCAAAAATATTTAAGTTTGTATATAATGCATAACCACTACGACTATTATTGTGAAGACTTCAAACTCTGTTTATTTTATGTTAATTTGTTATAAATGACTATTTAAAGAATGAATGATCACTACTTAATAATTATTATTATTATTTATGAATAAAGATGTTATAAATTCAATCATAATGTTACAGATTATTATTATTTAATACTTTTTATATTTAGCTATTTTTACAAAATTATTTATCCTATAAAATTTTTATATTTTTCATTTAATTTAATATTTTAATAAAATAAAAAATAAGTAAAAAGCATATAAATTAAAAGATAAGTATGTGTGAAATAATACTTGATGGTGATGATGGACTTGAAGTGTCAAGATTATTTGATTTGTTAATATTACCGTCACCATTTTCTTTCTTCGTTCTTTATTTTATTATCATTTTTCATAATTTCTGTCTTTTTTATGCCTCAATCATCAAGCTTAAAACTTTGTTATAAATAAGACATTTTTTTCTTAAAAACATTCAAGAAAAACAGGTCAAAACTCACCTATTATTAGTTACTTAATGTCAAAATTTTTTATATTTTTAAAACTTGGAAAAGATATATTTGATGTTTTAGTAAAAGTAATTAATGACATTGAAATACCTCATTTTATTAAATTGTAGGACAAAATAAGAAAAAACAAAGTAAGAAAGAAAAACCAGAATATTTTACTAAAATTAGGGAGAAATAACAACAACAATAATAATAAAAAAGAAAGAAAAAAGGAGGAAGTTTGCAAAGAAAAAGTGAAAGACTTCCAAGTTTGAATTTAATGCATGACATTGAAATTCATCATTTTCTTATTTTATTCTATCTCTTTTTTTTACTCACCTTAATTTGTTCTCTTATTTCGTTCTAGAAAAAAACATGTCAAAACTCATTTGTCATTAGTCACTTAATGTCAAAATACTAATATTTTTAAAAGTTAAAAAAAGAATTTGATGTTTTA